GGAAAAGGGTCAGTTGCCCTGTTGTCGCCAGGGCGGATGAGGCGCCACCCCCGCTCACCCAAGTGTCCCACAGCCAACCACGACCTGCCAGAACGGGGCATGTCTCGGCTGCGTTGGTACGCGACATTTGAGCTGAGTGAGCAATTCGTCAACCCCGTTTGCGCCGTTTACGCCCCCGCCAGGCCCGGGTGCGTCAGGCCCGTCAGGTCCGTCAGATGGCGGCGCGCAGCAACAGACCACGGCCAGACTCCGTCATTTCTCAGACAAAAGAGTGCACCTTTTAGACGAACGAGCGAGTGAGATCAGCGCGCAACCGCGACAACGGCGCTAGTGTAAGACAAACCCAGGATAGTCGCGGGTTTCCACTCGTGTGATTGGAGCGTGATAGGAGCGAACGTTGGGGAATATGGGACATGGGACTCGCTCGCTCGCGACGCGGGCAACGAATGCAGCCGAATCAGCCCCGAATCCATGACAACCCCCTCCCACGCCTCCCCGGAATGTCGCACGCACCCTTCCATTTCACGGAGAACAACACTGCAGAACTGGCCGTCGGCCTGAGCGCTGACCCTTTGCTGCCCGCCACAGTGTCGCGTAACGGAGCAGCGCCAGCGTAAGGAGCGGCGTGAGTCACCAGCGCAATTGTGCGGATTGCAGTCTCCAACACCCGTTTCGTGGCCGTCTAAGGCCTTCCGGTCTTCTCTGCAATTGTTGCAATTGTAGCAACTTTTTTTGCGCAAGGTTCTGTGGCGCTGTCCCTCGTCTATGTTGACCCAGATCTCCAGCAATTGTTCCTGTGGACCGGCCAGCCGGCCTGCCTGCCAGCCGGCCAGCCTGGAAGCCTGGGCTGGCAGGGGATGTGGCTGATGGAAACCTGGCCTAGTGCTGCAGACAACGCCATGCCCAGCCTCCGTCTTCAACCCTCGCATTCGCCCATCATGGATAACAGATATCTCGTCCTCATGGTTATTGTGGCGGCCGATAGCGCTGGCGCATGCAGACGCGCGCAGGCACATGCAGGGCGCAGGACCATCTAGAGGCGTCCAGACACCCAGATTCGTTCATGGCGTAGATAACGATGAAGGGCGAATTCTGGCACTTCCGGCAGTTCTGGGGTGAGGGGTCTCTGCTCTGCGCGAGCTGCGCGAGCTGCGCAGTCTGGACCAAGGACCAGGACCGCGCCTGGCCGCAGTCGCAGTCCGACGCCGCCGCCGTGCCTCTCCAAGCCTCATCTCCGTGGCAGTCACTTCTACGGGTGCGTTTGTTCGCTCGTGCACGAGTCACCACACTCTGTCCCCGGAATCTCGCCGAAAAGTTACCGCCTTGCCGCTGCACCCGTCCTTCGGCGACGTCGGGGACGGCAGTAGCGTTCGAGCGCCATCTGGCGCAGTGCAGTGTGCCTCACTGCGCCAAAACTCTTCCCACCCCGGCTGTACTCTCCTCTGAGCACTCTGGGCCGAGCTCACTTACACCGCCTCACACTAGTTGAGGTTACAGCTTTGCATCCAACAAACATGTGGGTGAGCAGTGAAGGGTGATGCGGCAGACCAGCCACCTAGATACAGTCATATGGAGAGCGACGTGATCTGCGGACCGTCTGACGAACGATGCAGTCCGTCCCTCAGACCGAGCCAGGACACACCACCGCAGGTGCTTCTTCCCTCTGATGTATTTCTCGCCACCTCTTGCTCATCTTTGATGGTGGGGAGAGCGCGCTTCTACCAGAGAGCGTCGGGGTACTATCTGCCGGGGATGAGTGAAACTCGCCCCATGAGTCAGTTGCGAGACGATTAGACAGGCGACTGGCGCGGAGGGCGGGCCGTTAACGACAAACGACGCTCGGCCACACGCTCTTCCCGCCCTATCGGTTTATGAAGCATCTTGGCTCGTGTCATTCGTCGCCACCACTGGATGTGACGACGAGAAAGAAGTTAATCGCGGTAGATGCAGACCCGGCTGCCAGCTGCAATTCGTAGCAGTCACGTGATTACAACTTGATTAGACTGCGGAGTTTTCTGGGTCGGTCTGAGCTTGGAACAACCGAGGTACTGAGCAATGCAGTGCAGAGGTCTGTGGGTGCGCAGCAGAAGAAGTGCTGTGTTCTCTGTGCTCTAGGTCACCCAAACATTGGGCTCTGCGCACCAGAATAACAGAGCACTGTCTGTCATCCAGTCACGAAAGCAGACCAGGGTTGTCTGGTGCTATATTTGTGCTGTTCGGACCACAACAATGGTAACAATAGAACGGGGATGACGCCTGCCGGGGCTAGTTCGGGATCAACCGCAGTCTCGCTACTGCATTCCGAAGTCAGACTGACCTCCGTTCATAGAGTTCGAAGAAAGTAACGACAACATTCGCGACTTTTCAGACAGACAGCAGCGCATGTCATGGCTTCTGATAGCTGCCAATGGTCACAGATTGATGCAAGATGCAGGCATATCGAATGTGGGGACAGGGCAAATGAGCACACGGGCTCTCACGTGGCGTCGATCCTGGCGCCACATCCACCCAAAAGTGCACAAGTCCATCGTGGGAATGTGGAATCTGCGCAGCCGGTGCCCGCAGCATCAGGCTCATCACACTCCTGGCAGGACACTCATCACCCACTACTGCTGCCAAGCGTCAAACAAGGTCACACATTCGCAGAGCTTAATCGCTCTTTTTCGCTCCTTTCGCCTCTTGGTTCCTTCCACACTCTATTTCGCTTTCCCCCCTCTCTCTAGCTGAGCAACGACACTCCGCTCGCCTCGCCACTTACGCTCTGCGAGCCACCGGACCACCACACGACCAAAGTGAAAGGCTAAGGCGGCCTCCACTCCTCCACTTCCCCGCCAGCCCTTCAGCCACCCGGCTCGGCGTCCCACTCCACCTACACGACGCGACGTCTGCTTTCTCTTGTTTGCATTTGACATTTGCCGCCAGCGCCAGCGACGCCGCCGACGCTGCCCCGCTTCACGTTTCTAACGACCCCCCCCCCCCCCC